ATATATTTTAATATCATACACACTGTGTATAAATTTATTTGTACAGTAATTCTCAAAAGTACTTATTTTCCGAAAACATATCCGTTTTTGTCATAATTGTTGAAAGTATTATGTAAATTGAAAAATAACATTTAATATATTCTATATTTTACTAAATTTATTTGAATGAATACCAACTTTATACAAAATAAATTCATCATTATAATTAAATATAATATTTATAAATAGAATAATTTTGTTTACGATTCCGGTGAATTTTTAAAAATAGGTTTGTTAATGAAGTTACAATATTATTAATAATAAATTAGCATTCATTCATAAAATAATAATTAGTAGAATTTTAGTACAAAACTTAATTTTTTAATAATCATTAGATTACTTTGTTATAAACAAATTAACATTTAAGAAGTATTACATAATAATTCATATTTAAAAATATATTATATTGTATGTGCTTAACTCAGCAAGAGTAAAAAATGTGTATTCATAATTGTTTGTTCTAATATAAATTAGTACATTAATCATTTAACATAGATTAGATAGTTTTTATTGATAATTTATACGATAATTATATAATCAATTAATTTCAAATATAGAGTATCTAGCTAAAAAACCCATTAAACTGTATGTTTGTGCAATCAATCAGTGGCACCACCACAACGATTACTACTGGAACGACAGCTCCATAAGAGTGTACTGATAGGTTGGCTGCACCCGGAGTGTCCCAAAGCCTTCATCGAGTCCTTTCAGATCTATGTGGACGGCGTCCTCAAGGCTACCATTCCTAGTGGTGACAGAACCAAAGCACTGGTCGAGGGGGTCGACTCATCTATGGTTAGTCCCCATTGTATTATCCATTTTTGTTGTGTCTGTTTGTCTATCTGTCAATCGCACCGGCGATACACCAAATGGTTTAATACGCTTATTGTGTCTACTTTTTGATTAATTGATACATTCATTCAACACTAAGTCCCTAACGTTATGTCATACTCTTTTTTTCTCATCCCTTTCCGCCCACCCATCCATTCAATAGCCTCATAGGATTAGCGTGAGAGCTACGGACAGGAGCGGTCGCCAGTCCAAAGACCCGGCCTGTACTATAGTGATCGGCAAAAGTAATTCATTATTTAAAATTTAATTAATTTTAGCTACACTCTCATGTAATCCACTATATATTACATAATATATACTGTATAATATACTAATCCTTCGCTTGGATCCCATTCCCCAATAGGCATCCCATTCGCGCCGTGCTGTGTGAAGGCCTCCAACATAAGCTCGGACTCGGCGGTCATCTCGTGGATCCCCTGCAACTCCAACTTCTACCACGTGGTGGCCGTCAACAGCGTGGAGGTGCGCACCGTACGGCCCTCGGTGTTCAAGCACCTGATCACGGGCCTGGCCGCCAATACCATGTACAGAGTGTCAGTACGTGCCAAACCGGGTAAGCTATTGTGCAGCGACGAGAAAAATCCCAAAAAGTTGGAAATGCTCACCACTTTCGTCGACTTCCGGACTCTACCCAAAAGTAATTAGTTTTTTTTGTTAATTAAAAAAAGCTTAGTTCATTTTGTGCGTTTGTTTTGTGTGCACTTATCTATCAAGAATATTTGTACACTTCTCCTGAATAATTAATTTATAATCTGTTGTATACATAACAGTGCTTAGTATATAGTATACAGAATATTCTTGTGTATATTAGTAATCGCTACTATACTGATAAGTACTGTATTAATGCTGATGTTTACAATTTGTCAGGTCTTCCCGATCCACCCGTTGATATACAAGTAGAGTCGGGCCCCCAAGAGGGTACGCTACTGGTCACGTGGCTGCCGGTGACGCTAAACCAATTTGGAACCTCCAATAACTGCCCGGTGACCGGGTATGCCGTGTTTGCCGGCCATAAAAAGTTATCGGAAATTGATAGCCCCACGGGTAACCAAAAATCTATAAACACATTACACGTGCCTTTATACCTATCTAAATGATCTATTCCTGTATATTTAATGGGCTTTTACATGCCGGTGCTAATGTAGGCGATCACGCGTTGCTGGAAATCTGTTCGTTAGAGCACTTGCATAAGAAAGCGGTGACAGTGCGGACCAAATCCGGTGAGAACCTGTCCCAGGACTCCATGCCCTGTCAGATACCCGACGAGTTACTCAAACTGCCGCCAATGGCCGTTCACTCCAAAAAGGTATTCCCTCGAGATTATTATTATCATCACTTTTCACACTGCTAATGAGCAATATTTAGATAGAGAGACCCATTTAGCTAACTGTCCATCGCTTTCTACCATTAATTAACACTCAATGTATTGTATATCGCATAACAGAATCCGATTAAAATTGATTTTCCTATCCACGAGTTTATTAATTAAAATCGTTTTCGGATTAATATTATTCCCGTAAAACTCTATTCAAAATGATTATAATTATTATGAGGAATGAATCGATGCATGAGTTTTATATCTAGTGATGAGTTTGACGTTTAGTGCATATTATACGCGAAAGTGATTATTAATACCAAATAATATATTGAAAAATTATCATTTTTATTTCGTGAAAGTATTTTTCTAGCTATTAAAATAATTTATTTACCAAATTAGCTCGCATATAGTATATATCATGTATATAATTGCATTTTAGATAAATTCTTGACAATATTTTGTATTATAGTGAATATGTCTTAAAAACATTGAGAACGAGAATTGCATTTGTATCGATAAATTATATCTAGTTACTATTTTCCATATATCTATCATTAAGTATTGCCTAAACTATTCATAACAAATGTACTAAACTAACCAGTGAACAATATAGCATTTAGCATTGCATTGATACCTATAAAAACGGCTAGTTACTGAAATAACTGTGATTCTTGATACTGACTAACTATAATAGTGTACATAATTGTCGTGATTAACTCTAATGATGTTGTACTGCATGTGTGCCAAAAATGGTGTGACAAACGCGAAACAAACCAAACTTTTTATGCTAAACAGACGCATCCCTCGGATTCAGAATCTGATACAGAATTAACTCAACTCTTACACAACGTAGTGAGACGTTCCCAGGCATTTGATCCCACGTCTCAGGTAGTTATGCCAGTGGCCAGACATCAGATAAGGACTTATGTATCCATTTTTGATTCTTTCAGTCACTTTTGTTCAGTTGTTTTGTCGTATATCGGTGTCACAGTTGCGTTCATTGTTTGTCCGTTTTTGTGTCTGATATATACTGTAACTTATAGTGGTGTCTGCCGTCTATTATGATATATATTCTGTATATTCTCGATATTCTGTGTATTTTTATTCTGTATTGTATTCTTGATATTTACTATACGATTACTTGTTGATAGCAATTGGTGTTTGAATTTTGCTGTTTATACTGTATATGAATTGTTTTATATTGAATTTTTTGATGTATTTTTATGTTTGATTATGTGATAATTGATCCGTCATTCCACACTTGATATCCCTAATGCTAACATACCCGGCTCATCCTATTCCCCTATCTATTCCCTATTAATAAATATATTTTCCCATTAATAATTTATTTAATCATTTAGTAAATTAGTTTTAATTATAATAAAATAACTAAACATTTCTTAAAATTATCGTAACTTAATCCAAACTAATTTAAAGTGTGTTATGGCTGTCCAATGGCTATCAGATTGCGAATCTGATTATAAAACTAATATTTTTATATCCATTTACCAAAACATATTTGACTAAACCATCGCCCGTCTACTCCCTGTCCCCTCAAAAGGCCGTATACGACGCGCACCGAACAAAACAACAGGCGGTCAGTCGGCCGTCGACGCGAACAAGTGCTACAACCCGTGCCCTCCAACAGAAACACCACCACCAGAGCCACCATCACATGCAGCAAACCGGTCACCAAATGCAACAACAGTCTCATCACCACATGATTACGGGTCAGTCGATGGGCGGCCGTATGGATGACGGCATGTCCGGGCAGGACCTCATCTCGCGGATGAACATCCCGGCCATCGAGATCACGAAAGACACGCCCAGCGAATCCATTAACCCCATCGAGAGCTACTCGGAGGAGGAGTTCGAGACAATGAGACAGCGGTCGTCGGGCGGCCATATGGCCGGCCAGAGGGCCTACGGGTCGTCACCGGTGCCGCCGCACAGAACGCGCGCTATTAGTGACTACGAGAGGTCCCATTTTGGACCATCGGATCACACGCCTAACCGTCGCGTAGGCGGCCCTCAGATGCAGAGGGATCGCGAGCGCGGCATCCGCTGGTTTGTGGCCCTCTTCGACTACGACCCCCTCTCCATGTCGCCCAACCCGGACGCCGCCGAGGAGGAGCTACCCTTCCAAGAGGGACAGCTCATCAAAGTATGCCACTAGACGGACATGTCGTGTGTCCCGTGGTTTGGTTGTAATGAAAATGTTTTTTATTTGTTTTCGTTTCTGTGAATTAGATTTATGGGGATAAGGATGGCGACGGTTTCTATAGGGGTGAGGCGAATGGGAGGGCAGGTTTTGTACCGTGCAATATGGTGTCCGAAGTGCAATACGACAACGAATCCGATATGAGACAACGGCAGCTCCACCAACAGGGGGCTGATCCCTGGTCTCACTTGAATGTGCGAAAAATGGTCGCCCTCTACGACTACGACCCACAGGAACTGTCGCCCAACGTGGACGCGGAGGTCAGTCGGTGTCTCCCGATATCTATATGTGTTTAGTGGACAGTAGTGTTTGAAAATTCTTAGAAAATATTTTTTAGAGAAAAATGTGTATAGAATTAGTCAATGGATATGTATTATTGGCGTACATTTAGTGCTAGAAATGGTAGTTGTCGTAAAACTAGTAGTGAATATGTTAGTGATATATCAATAGTAATGTGACTGTTAGATGATTTGATAGTATTATAGTATTAGCCAATGTCCAGTCCCTCCCATCCCATGTTCAGTAGTTAACTGCACAGACATGTTAGCAAACTAATTATTAGTTTAGTTTTTAATAAGCATTTCACCTAAATATACTGTACTATGAAAAAAAACGTAATTCAGATTTGGACCGCTGTTTGTGAAACAGTCATTATATTTTGGACATTTCATTGAATTTGAAAATCTAAACAAAATTATTAATCAATTACTTTGTTATCGACAAAAAATTACCCAAAATTTGGAGTCAAAAAAAGTGTACATTTTTTTCTCTCGAAAAATGTTTCCAAGAATTTGCGTGAATTCTGTGTGAATTCACACTGAAAATCAACCAAAAAATACGAGTGCTTTCTGTGTGTTGTCCCCCAAAATCAAGAATATTCTGTGATTTTAATCATAAATTTATATATTACTATACCCCCAAAACCGTGGGCACATACATGCTATGCTGCCATTTCAGATGGAACTGGCGTTCAATACGGGTGACATAGTGTATATCTACGGGGACATGGATGAGGACGGCTTCTTTATGGGCGAAGTGAACGGCGTTAGGGGTCTCGTGCCCTCCAACTTCCTGTCGGAGGCCGGCCCGGGAGGCCAGACCGGTGGTGTGGGCGGCCCTCAGCAACCGCTACAGCAGCCACAGCCCGTTGATCCCAATGCTCGTCATGTGAGTCGCTTTAAAGGTGGGGAGTGGAGCACAAGGATGTTATAACAACCTCTAAACCGATTGTCCGATATCTTGCATATATGTGTCTTAATTGTCCGTTAAATTAAGAAATATATGACTTATGAATACGATATATGACTATAATATTGTAATATATATTATATATATGATGTGTATATCATTATAAAGAATGCGTTTTCATTCATGGCATGAGTTTATTGGTGTGTCTGTCGTGTCGGTCCCACCAATCGATGATTATCTCTCTCGGGTCCCACCATATCATGTCTTTGCATGACATCCACTCTCATATCCAATCGACAGTCGATACGTTTATTTATTTTGTGTCATTTGTTTATAAAACGCTAAACAAATATATATCTAAATTATTATTAAATTGTTTTTTTCATGTGAAAAGTTAGTTAAGTCAGAGACGGCCAGATACCCGGTATACTTTGCGTTCATTTTAATACTGTATTAGAATTTATTTCGGTGTATTAATTAAATATAGTGTAGTTTTTATAGTACAGGTAGTCAGTTAAACCCGATATAAATTTATTGTGAGACTTAAATTAAGTCACTTAATCCACGTCCACAAGTGGCCATCTCTGGTTTAATTCAAATACTTAATTAATAAACTTATAAACTAATTAATAATTGTATTTGTATATTGTGTTAACTGTGTGTCCTATCCAAACTGAATTCAATACAAATATGTGAAACNTGAGGGCCGCCCACACCACCGGTCTGGCCTCCCGGGCCGGCCTCCGACAGGAAGTTGGAGGGCACGAGACCCCTAACGCCGTTCACTTCGCCCATAAAGAAGCCGTCCTCATCCATGTCCCCGTAGATATACACTATGTCACCCGTATTGAACGCCAGTTCCATCTGAAATGGCAGCATAGCATGTATGTGCCCACGGTTTTGGGGGTATAGTAATATATAAATTTATGATTAAAATCACAGAATATTCTTGATTTTGGGGGACAACACACAGAAAGCACTCGTATTTTTTGGTTGATTTTCAGTGTGAATTCACACAGAATTCACGCAAATTCTTGGAAACATTTTTCGAGAGAAAAAAATGTACACTTTTTTTGACTCCAAATTTTGGGTAATTTTTTGTCGATAACAAAGTAATTGATTAATAATTTTGTTTAGATTTTCAAATTCAATGAAATGTCCAAAATATAATGACTGTTTCACAAACAGCGGTCCAAATCTGAATTACGTTTTTTTTCATAGTACAGTATATTTAGGTGAAATGCTTATTAAAAACTAAACTAATAATTAGTTTGCTAACATGTCTGTGCAGTTAACTACTGAACATGGGATGGGAGGGACTGGACATTGGCTAATAC